CACTAACTGTACGGAGTGAAGACCCTGCGCATTCACCATGATTTTGCTGCATGAAACACTATTTAGGGAGTAAGCTGTGTACTAGAACCATCAAAGGCAGTTTTGCTAGCATTGTTATAGCAAATTATTTGCTTTAGCAGACTGAATAATCGGGGGAGCCATAAAATTGTTAAGAATGAACGAACCGTTTCCTCTCCTCCTCACTTCTCTTCTCCTCTGTCCTGCTCTCCTTATTTCGACCGTCTTGTCTCGTCCCATCTCTCCTTTTCTCTTCCTCAACCCTCCCTTTCCTTCTTCAGCTACAGAGTTATGTTACTTCGCCTTCACCGGGAGAGTTCAATCACCTTCATTGTTCCCCCTGATCAGAGGCGACTATCCACCAAGAGACAGGATTAGGAACATTTATCAGGAACTTATATTCGTTAGCTGCGTAGCACTATTTAGGGGTGAGTGGCCATTTCATTTAACCCATTCTGCATAATTGAACACGGGTTTGCAGCCAGATAGGTCACAATCGGACTCCTCCCCCGTCATTCAATATCGTTGTTATTGGACTTTCCGCCACAATGCTAGTCGATCAGACCGCAATCAGACCAAATGCTCTAAATGAACTCTGCAAAAATGTGGAAATATGGATTATTACGGGTGATTAGAGAAGCAGAAGGATGGCCGAGGGCTGTAGGAGGAAGGGAGCAGGTACTTATTTTTATAATATAACTATTATTTGCTAATTTTGCTGATCGTGGGCTATATTCTGTAAAGGTCATAAAACAGGAGGTATGGATAATAAACTACGGGCGATAATAGTCATGTTAACGGTCGCAGTTGTGGACGCGGATTGGATAAGTGAAGGAAGAGGAGGCAGATGTGGAGGCACGGTTAGAGGAAGGTAGGTGATTGCCGGCTGCTTTGGAGGATAAATGTTCAGCGGGAGAAGAGGATCTATAGGTCAACACCAGTTGTGATTGTCTCAATAGCGTTGGTTTTGGTTGTTGAGATAGCACCCTTTAGACGGGAAAACATCAACGTTCATCCACAAAGTTATGTAGA